AATAAGATTATAAGATAAAAGTTATATACTTTTTAGCCTCTTTATTACTAACTTTATATACTTTCTTTTTATTAAGTTTATAATCCTAATCTCTTACTTTTCTAAGTCTTATTTTATATATTTTCTTAATTATTTAATTATTTACTTTTTATTTAAAATATTTAAAATATACTACTAAAATAAAATATTTTACTTATATCTTATTACTTAAGGTTATTACTTATAAGACCTATTAAATTAGACTTTTTAATAATTAGATTATTAAATATCTCTAATAATTTCCTTATAAGATTACCTTAATTAAGGAAAAAAAATAATCTCTTTTATTTTAGCTAGGCTTACTTAATTATATTTAAAATATAAGAGATATTAAGAAGTTACTAAGGCTAATTCCTTTAAGATAATTATACTTTAAGCTTTAATTATTATAATTAAATTATTTTAAATATATTATTATATAATCTTATTACTAAGTTTATATAAAGCTAAAATATATAAATAACTATCTTAAAAAAGTATATTAAGTCTTATTATAAGATTATATAAAGGAAAGGCTAGCTAAGGGAAAATTTATTATTTTATTAAGCCCTTATTTTTAAATAGGAGTTTATTATTAATATATATTTTATTTTAATCCTTATAGTAAGCTCTTTAAGATAAATCTAAAGGTTAAATTAATAGAATTATCTAATTAGGAAGTTACTATTAAGGACTTCTTTAAGAATTACTTATTAATTATTTAAATAAATACTAATATAATAAAGTAGTTAAATTAATTTATATAACTATCTTTATAGCTTAATTAACTTAGCTATATAATATATTTATAAGGCTTTACTAATAAGAAGGACTTTTTATATAAACTTATTTTAATTAACTTAGATTTAAGTATTAAACTATTTAATAAATTTAATAATTTTATTTATTTAATAATTTTTATTATACTTAATTAGTTAATCTAAGAGGCCTAGGATCTAATTTATTAATAAGAAGTTCCTCTTAATATAAGATTTAAGGTAATAAGATATAATATTAATATAACTAGCTAAAAGCTATTTAATTTCTATTATAAGTAAGAGACTAAGTAAAGATATATAATTATATTTAAATAACTTATTATTTATACTTTTTATTATCTTATTTTTAATAATTTAACTAAGAGATTACTATTTAAAGTTAGTTATTAATAATAAAAAGTATATAATAACTTAATAGAGATTAATAATAAATTATAAAAGTAATAAAAAGTAATATAAAGGTAATTATTTAATTAAATACTTATATAATTAATAAAAGACCTTAAGTATAAGACTCTTAGGCTATTTATAGCTATTTTATATTAATAAACCAAGGACTTAAAGTATAAAAGTATTATAGTTTTTTTTCTCTTTATACTTAGTATTACCTTAAATAGATTATAATATTAATATAATACTTTTACCTGATAATTATCTAGACTTATAGCTATCTCTTATTTATTAATTCTAAGAGCGGCCTATTTAATTAGATAAAATATTATTAAAGTAAGGGTTTCTAATAGTCTTAGTACTAAGGAAGCTAAGCTAAATATACTAGGTATTTTAAGTTTAATTAAATATTAAATATCTTAATATATACTTAGTAATATACTAGGGGCTAAAGCTATATTAATATAATATATCTTATAACTTTAAAGTTATAATATAGCTGCTAAGGCTAATATAATAGCCCTAGGTTATATTAGCTAAAATAGTTTTAACTTCTTATTTAAAGGTATTAGGCTTTTACTTTTTAATTTAATATAGCTATTATAATTCTTTCTTATTACTATTAAATAAGTCTTATTTTAAAACCTTCTTTTTTAATAAAATTACTTTATTTTTAATATATAGCTAGCTATTATTTTAGCTATATTATAAAATAAACTATAAGATAATATAAATAATAATATACTTAGCTATAAAGTAGCTAATAGTATATATAAAGTAATTAATAAAGACTTAAGGACTTAGCTAATTATATTTATTTAAAAGACCTTTATACTTAAAGCTAAATAATATTTAAATACTATTATAATAAGTATATCCCCTAGTATAATAATACTTTCTAGCTATCTAGAATTAGTTAATTAAATACTTAAGTATTTACTTTTTTTTATTTATCTTTTTATTAATCTCCTAGCTTAATTTACTAAAATACTTATTATATAATATTATAATATAATTATAGGTAGTATTTATAATATCTTTATTAACTAAGGGCTAGTTATAATTATTATTAATATTTATAAGACCTTCTTCTAATTATAAAGACTTAAGGTTATTTATTAGTTTTTTCCTTAAGAGGTTAATATACTTTTAATCTATTATTTTTAGCTTATTATATTATTTTATAAAGGTATCTTATTTAATCTGCCTTATAATTTAAACTAGGAATAAACTTTATTATTATTTCTTTAGAAAATAATAAGCTTAGCTAAAAATAAAAATAACTTTAAGGCCTAATAAAGTAAAATAACTAATTAAATACTTAATATTTTTTAATTTAATTTAGGCTTTCTTATTTTATTAAAAGGCTAAAATTAAGATTAAGGCTAAGGCTAAAGTTAAGGTTAAGCTAAAGAGATAAAAAAGGTAAATATAATATTAAAGCCTAATCCTAATAATAAGTATATTAATCTATCTATTAAGAGTTTTATATTAATATATATAATATATATTATAAAGTATTAAGATATAATAATTAATATAAACTTACTTAGGATTAATATATAGAGATATATCTTTATAGCTATTAGTTATTAGTTTATA